GCTAAACGCTTTGAGAAGCTTGCAAACAGATTGCACAGTGATTGCGATTGTGACTTAGGAAAATAAATAAAAGGAACAATAATGAAAATAAAAAAATGTCAAAAATATTGTACTAACTTGTTATTAATTAGTTTAATAATTATTTGTGTTGTATAAGATAAGAGTGTAGTTGAAATTATTATGTATTCAATTATGAATTATATTTATGGTTGGCAATTGTAGTCATAATCTAAGTTAACAATAAAGCGACTTTAAATCACATAGAAATCAAATTCTTATCAAAGTACTATACAACTGATAAAGAAAACCTCACAATTGTTAAGTAAACAAATGTATAGATATTAATAAGCAGCTCAATATTGATATATGTGATAATATAGTGATATATATATAGTGATATATAGTTAAAGATAACGTTGTCCGGCTGGGCTATCAAACATTGCTATAAACATGTTTAAACAATTTTAAAAATATTTTAAATTTAAATTAAAATCATATTCTACTGACTTTATCTAATCTGGCCCACTGTGCGGCAAGGGAGCAGCTGCAGCTGCATCTCCTTTCCTTCTTCCCCGCCCTGGAAACTCAATAAACGTCAACATTGCACAATGCACAAGCTTTAAACATTTATTACTTAATACAATTTAATTTCCACACCATTTGTGCAATGTGCAGGCGGTTGCCATTGTGGCAGTGATGACAACAACAACAACAGTAGCAGCAACAACAACAATAATAATTGCAATGGGAACAGCAATATCATATAACATGTAAAGGCAACTACAACACACAGCTGCTCGTAGACGATATGCAGCGACCACAACACGGCGACAGCGCCAATTTTTGTTTCGCTTATATGTTGATACCCTGCATTGCATTTGATGTATGGAAAGTGGAAGTAATGAATGTGCAAGAGTTTTAGCTGAAAGTCAGCTTAAATTATTATTAAAAATATACATTAATATTCCTTTTGGCTTTATTGTATATTAATTTCTCTCTGCTCTTTACATTGTTAACATAGCTAGATCGATTATATATGTCTCTATCGATCAAGCTTAGAACAAATTTCAATAGATTTCGTGCCTGAAAACAGAAAAAATATGTAAAATGACAAAATTTGAATATAATGAAATAATGTAAAGTAGCTTTCGGTTTTATTATATTGAATAACTTTGAGCTAAGTCCAGTCAAATTTCTAAAATATATATTAATATAGGATAACTGCTGGTCGTTCTTATTTGACATTTCTATCAATTTACATAAATTTTAAACTCGCATATTTCAAAGGCAAATGAAACTATTTAGAGTGTCTACCAAACAATATACAGGGTAACTCATAGTCTCTCATTTTTGCCTCTTCTTCATTCAGCTCGGCAAGCATTGATTTTCAAACAAAGCTTTTGAAACATAAACACAATATTTTGCAAGCTAGCAATTATGCAGGGTATCGAATAATCGCGCATTTTCATCTCAATTACATTGGATTCAATTTTATTTTATAATTTTCACAGCATTTGCTACACGGATTTTTGCCGGCAGTAAATGTAGCCAGGCTATAGCTGACCAAATGGCCTGGCAAACGCCCCCATCCCCATTCTCTTCCAGCCGCTCCTCTGTGTATAATAATTATTAAACATGATTATGGAATTTCAACAATTATTATTAATGAAGAACTGAATGCATGCTACTGCCAATTCACGCACACACACAGAGAGAGGGGGGAACATATTCCATATATTTCCTTGTAAATTGTAATTAAACCAACAACAGCTTTCACAGCGCACATTGCGTATACGCAATGTGGTAGCCAGGCTCGCGCATATATATGTACATATATAGTATGTGGATTGCCACACTATCTTTTCGTTTGCCATGCACGATTAGTCAAATTGCATTGGAAATGATGTTGGCAGCTGTTGAACTTTTGCATCTCGCCTTCTTCTAATTTAAATATGCGCAACGAAGCCTGAAAGTTGAAGAGAGAAAATAGTGAAATGATGTCGGAAATTGATTGCTAAATGAAAACATTATGCAATTTTGCTATAGTTCGTGTTGACTGAGAAAGTAAAGCCAATTGTGATAGGCCTAGATAATATTTTGAACTACTCAGCTGCAGTTTGAAGCATTTTACTAATTATGCTGCAAATTGTGTGAAAAATATTGTTAATTCATTAAAAAACAAATGTTGTACAAATTGCGATTGAATGTGATTGAATAATTTATATTATTTAATGACTTCAAATGCAATGCCAGTGGGCTGACTAAACACAAGTGATATTATTTGTGTTATCCATAAATTATTATTTATACGTATATGCTTGCGTGACATTTGAGTGTGAACTGAACTTGTGAGTAATTTGTTAATAATTCTGATGAAAGTAGGAATTTTGTTCAAAGGTTGATTGTCATCGAGGTATTTTTTTCTCAATTTAAAAATTGATGACATTGTAGTAGAAAAAGGAGTAGAGAAAGAAGCATAGCAGCCACGTAGTATAGTAGCATAGCAGCATAGCAGCATAGCATCATTGTATCATAGTAATATGGGAGTCTTAGTGCACAGTAGTAAAATTAGTAGTGAACACGGCAGTAAAATGAGTAACAGACATAGTGGTAGTAGATCTAGTAGATATAAAGCAGAAAATATGATAGATAAGTAGTTGACATCGTAATAGACATAATAGTGGATATAGTACTAGATAAAGTAGTAGACCACTATATCTGTTAATAATAAATAGGTAAAGAATAGACACAGAAGTAAACATATTCTATTATAAATATGATAAGTAGTGGGATAAGTAGTGGGATAAGTAGTGGGATAAGTAGTGAAGTTGCATAATGCAATGCAACCCAATACATCAAATAAATGGTCTTATAAAAAAAGGAAAAGTGAAGTAAGGATTGGCTAAAAGTGATAACAATAGAGAATTAACCTAATGTAAATCCAGCAAGACGACGCATTTAAATCATCTACTATTTCATGACATTCCACAGATATCTAATATCATATATCTAATAATTTCTAATTTGTTGTCATACATACATAATAAAGCAATAAGAAAATTCTGATTTGTTGTATAATTTCGACACATTTACTATAGATCTAAATTTAGTTGAGAGAGCGTGTGCCTGCAAATGCTTTTTGTGCTGCTCTAAATAACAATTAATTCGAGAAATGTTTCAGTTTTTAAATGAGCTTTGTTTTCATGATAGTCGCAATTGTCACATAACTCTTTGAAGCTACTCCGTTTTTATTTTTCATCTTTTTCTTTTTGTACTGAAAGTGAGCTCTGGAGAAACTTGATTCAATTACTTAGCGACTGGCTGTGGAAATAAATGGTAGCTTGAGTGCACACGCTGGATTTACTAGTAATTTACTGCGCAGACACACACACACATACACACTTACACATGTATAAATATTCATATATGTGTGTAGATGTATATGTCTATTATAAAACGCATACCATGGCAGCTTTTGCATCCACTTTGAAATTCTTCTGCAGCGTTTGTATGCAGTTTGTCGGCATCATTTTTTTTATTATTTTTTTTTTTTTAAGAGTTGTGGGTGGGAGAAAGAGTGGCAGAGATAGGTTGGAGTTGTTGGTATTGCCGGCAGCTAAAATGCCATTAAGACTATGCGAGACAAAAGAGCGTCGCTCTCCTGGTCTCAGCCATTAAAAAAAGAAGCAAAAAAAAAAACTAATGAATTAAAATCTGAAATGAATTAGTTTTTCAGCTACAGATTTTATGGCCTTTGGCAGTCTGTGTGCGACACAGAGAGAGAAAAAGAATATTTGCGTGTGTATGCTAGAAAGGAAGGACATTAATGACGAGTGGAAATGGCATCTTGTGCTGTGTGTATCAAAGGATCAAAGAAAATGCACATGTGCAAGGCAAAATAATAGAAAATGTACTATAATGCATTTATATATGAATGGGGGAATATATACAAAATATGTGAATATAGTTTTAGAATATTTTAATGGAATTTACAATATATATATATTTACAATATATATATATATCAATTCATTTGCTAAAAATAGATATTCCTCTCATTTGCAAACTATTGATGACATCTTAACAATGCATTGATTATAATTAACAACGAATAACTTTTAGTCATTTTTAACACTCGTAAATTGCAATTTGGCGGAATTTATAATTGGCTAACGGCGGCTGCTATAAAATATTTAAACTCAATTAACGTGCAATGCATTTAATTGCGCGTGTGTGTGTTTGTGAGTGATTGTGTGCATGAATCACGCCTAGCCAAATAAATTATAATAGCACACACATACATTTGCATAATAACTAATAATTATAAATAATATTTCATGTGCATTTTGCTAGTGTTGCAACAACAACAACAACAACAAAACCAACGATTGACTAACAATAACATTTACAGCATGCACAGCTAACAAATAATCCAGTTCAGTGGCAATTTGTGTAGTACGCCCATGACTCCTCCTCCACCTCTGCCTTTTCCCAGCCAACCGAAAATTCTGTTAAACAAGCTTTTTATTCTTTTTTGTCCTTTTGCAATTAAAGCGAAATGTTTTTCGGATTCTCTATTGTCCAATCTATGTTAATGCAAATGTCAATTTAACGGTAATTAGTTGGGCACAGAGTAAAAAAGGGAGAAATGTATTATACATTAAAAGAAAATAATGAATTAATGATCAAATAAAACAAAAATGGTTTTTAAATACAAAAAATTAATATAAACGTATTTATTTTAAATATATAAATTCTAATTCTAAAAAAAATTAATAAAAAATAATAAAATGTTAATATAGAACATTAAAAAATAATATATAAAAACGTAAAAAAAATATAAAAACAAAATTGAAAAATATATATATATATATATAAATATAAATATAATATAAAAAAAACCCAGAATAAATAAAAAAAAAAAAAAAGATAAAATATAAATAGGAATATTAAAAAAAAGTTAAAAATGTTAAATAAATAATAAAAACTGTAAAAATAGAAACATTTTTATAAGACAATTCTTTATTTTCAATCGGCGGCCGCCCAATAGTCCTTCCAATCATATCGAGGTTTGTAAGAACTGTCTTTGTTGTAGGGTCTTTCATCCATTTGTTTTGTATAACGAAAAATATAGCCTAGCTGATGCAATGGATATTTGGGTATCATATATTCCATGCGTTGATTGCGTAACAATGCGCACTCAAGATACGGTTTCCACGTAGCTAGTTCAGTGCTATGACATTCTTCTGATCTGCCCACGGTATACAGGTAAAATCTCAGATCGTACCAGATGGGACGATCGTTCATTAAGGCACCTTTTGTTTCATACGTTACATTGACATACATGTTACGGCCCAGCCAATCCATAACTTTGGGCACATTGTACACAGTCGATTTCGATGCACATACTGCTGCAAATGTTCCGCTTCAATTACAATAGATTAAAAAATTATGTATTTATACTATATAGAAAAGCGGTTAATCTGCAATTTGAATACACACACGGGATAATATCGTCGAGCGGCGCGAGGCTCAATTTTGAAATTATCATTGATGCGACTACGTGCTCTGAGCGGTATATTTGATTTCATTTCATCTGTTTTCAAATTATTTGGAAATTTAGAGAATTGATCCTTGGATAGCCAAGGATACGCTGGAGTCGGACGAAAAGTTGTGCTTGCATCAATTCGTTCGCTTTGGGTTCGTGATCTCCATTCAGGTTTTTGCCAAATATTCATCTCATTTGTTGTTGTCAAGAAATCTTTCTCCATTTGTAGAAAATTGGATTTTTCCAATACACCTGTCTGCTGTTCCCATGATAACTGAAAGTACTTGCATTCTTTGGATTATATAGGTTTTCGTAATTCATAATGCTCATTGAACTTACGCTAATTATGCCAACAATAACGGCTAGTAAATCTAGTTTTACCATCAATAGAAAATTATATAATTACAAAATACGTAAAAACAGATGTGTAAAGTGTAAAGTTTGAAGTTTGAATAAAAACTTATGCGAGAAGTCAAATTTTAAAATAATTGTATGATTTTTTTTTTACAATTTTGGGAAATTGTGCAAAATGGAACGGTACTTTCTACAGTTTTGGAGCTAGAAACTACTAATTTACTGTTGATATTCTCTATTGATTTACACAAAAATAATATATGTGTATGCAAATTTGGGGCGTGGAAGCGCTTGGGACTAAATTTATTTAACATATATATTGCACATGTCAATGAACTATTGTCTTAAAAATGCAAATAAAATTAAAAATATAATACATAAAAAAATGAAATACATAAATCATAAAATACGTAAATACTCAGCAGAAATGTATTCCATAAAGGAAAGGAGAGGAAAGTCACTTGAAAGCTAAGGTCCGCTAACGTTGCACACTCTAGCTCTTCACTTAAAGTTTCCCAGTTGAGTCTGAATTCTTAACTTAGGGTGTGCGACCTGTTTTTTATTTGCTTAGTATTTTTTTTTTTTTTTGCACTGGCGGGAAGGAAATATTTTTGCCTGCTGCTACACTTTGCGTACTCAAGTAGTTTTTAATTTGAATACTTAGCACACTCTTGAACCCTGTCGGTCGGACAAGGTGAAGTTCTTTGGAGCATTTTTACAGAACCCTTTTTTTTTTTTGTTTGAGTGATTTGCATATTTGTGTGTGCGTTAAATATATTAAGAAATACCACAATTATTGTTTTTAACTTTTACTTTCTTCTTTCTACTTGCAGGCTACGCAAAAGATATTTACAGAGCTGAAAGAGGTAAGCAAAATAAATATCTTCACTTTAAAATGATTTTAATAGAGAAACAGAAAGTAAGGAAGACTTTTGATTCAATTGGCTTAATTTGTGACTATTCCAACAACTTTTCAAGACTTTAATATTGATTTTTCGTTAAAAAACTTAAATACCTCTTCCATAACTCAGCCAATGCCCTATATAAAATTGTCTTTAAATTTGCAAATACATTCGTCTCATGTCAAATTTCATGAAAATATATAAAAAATTTTATAAATTGCCTCGATCTTTTATTTAAATTAACATAATTTACAAAAGGCAAGAAAAAGTCTAGTCTACAAAAAAATGATAAAACATAAAATAGATTCACATTTCCTAATGTCTGCCAAAAATTGCACAACAACAACTTTTGTGTATGTTGCGTTTGGGTCATAAACTAGCTAAAAAAACGAATAAAAATCCGAAAGACCGCCAAATGTTAGCCGGGAAAAAACTCCAAGTACAGCTTTTTACTGCGCTCTTGGACCATTCACACGCCGGCACTTCTCTAACCAAAACTACGAGTGCTCCCCATTGTGCAATTTATTACGCGTATGTGCCGACCAAAATTCGAAAAAAAATTCTGCACAGTGCAACAGCTAAGATATAAGAATGAAAACTAGTGCAAAATTAAATGAAGTGTATTATGTTTTAAATTTATTTAAAAAAATTTATTTTTATATATTTATTTTTACATATTTATTTTTATATATTTTGTTTTTATAAAAATTAAAATATGTATATATATACTTATATATATGTTTGTTGTTATTCTGTACACATTTTTGATAATTAGTTTTTTTTTTTTTCTTATATATGCAATTTATTGTTTTTTCTATATTTTATATATATATATATAAAAATGTAGATTTTTAAGTAATATATATATTTTTTTAAATAAAAATATTTATCAAAAATATTTAGCTATAACCAGAAAGGCTTTGTTTTGGTTACACTGTGCGTGTGTTAGGGCCAACTTTGCAATCGCCTGAGTCGGTTTTAAGTCCCGCTAGTCCATGCAGGTTGCGCTGTCGACTTCTTGTCTGTCTGCTGTCTGGCTGACTGCAATGGAATGGCTTAAAGGAGTTGCTGGCGCGCATGCAAATGCTGGGCGTGGCATACACATACACTTACACTAATCTACACAAGTGTGGGTTTTTGGCTTGTGTTTGTTTTTAATACACTTTTTTTTATGTCATGCCATTTTATGATTTGGTGTCGCGTCGCCAGTTCTCTAGACTTCGAGTAGCTGCTTGATATTGGCGAAATCAATGGAGTTGTTAGCTGAAACACAAACCAGTCTGCCGGGCAAAGTCTCTACTCTCTGTCTGCCTAACCGCTGCTGGATTGGCTGCACATTGTCATTATTTATTGAAAATATAGTTTGATGAGTTTTTACTTGGTTCAGCGCGCCAAAAAGTGAACTGGCTTAACACGAGCCATGCCCACAGCCCACAGCCCTCAACTCTTAGCTTCAGCTTCAGTAACCATGCCAGAAGCAGCTGCTGTTCGTCTGGCATTTGTTGTTCCTGTCCCATTGCGGTCAATGTAATAGTTTTTGTGGGCTGCTACTGCTGAAAATTGGTTAAATCGGTAAACTTTTTTGGGCCACCCACTTGTTTTACTCAGCAAAACTATGTGGGCATTGCCCAACGGGTTCAACGAAATTGCCAGCATTTGCCTAGGTTGATTTTGTTAGTTTTTTAGGTTAGGTTTTTTAATTGATTTTTTTTTTTAAATTTTAAAATATACGTTTGCATGCCAAAAATTATAATTTTCTATAACTTTTTATGAAAAATTCGCTAAAATAAGTGAAACTATTAATCAAATATAAATAAAAATGATATATGCATACTAAAAAATAGTAAAATAATTACAATCAAAATCGTTATGTAATAAAAAATAAAAAAATAAGTAAATAAATAAATAAAAATAAATAAATAAATAATAAAGTTAGTAAATAACAAAATTAATAAATAAATAAAATTAAAATAAATAATACAAAAAATAAAAATAAATATGAAAATACGAAAAAACAAATTAAGTAAATACGAAAAAAAAAAAAACAATATATGTGAATAAATAAATATCAAAATATCAATTTTTATAGAACGGCATCACAAAAGTGGGTAGACTTGTACGGTAAACTGAATAATATTATTATACATTTGAAATGTAGTGCAAAAAATGAATTTGTGTAATATTTTATAATCAGAAAAAAAGAATTTTTTTTAATTTTGGTTTGCTACATACAAATATTGTAAGATCATTATTGCATAAGCACTTTCGCCCTTTCCAATTGAGTAGTTGTAGCACATGATATTAAGAGAGCAGCGAACCGCAAATTTTTCTGAACTGTTCCGTGATTTCGCCGTGTTATGCCTCTAAAGAAAAAAGATAGGAGAAAATATAGCTCGACGACTGCGATATATGTTGCAAAGCCGAGGCTGAAAGAGGTTTTGCCCTTTGGCAGTATCACAACAAGTTGGCCAACTGCAGCATAACCATGTCTCGCTGTGTTTATGTCTTGCTGCTGTCTTTTTGCATGGGGCAAAAAGTATCTCGACTAACGTAAAAACTGTTTCCACTGATTGCGTGGGCGTAGACGGGCAATGCTATTAACTGGTCGCGGCGGTATCATAGAGCCCGCCCCCTACTGGCCCACCACCAACTTTGAGTACCAATAGTCTGCACTTTACTCTTTTCATTCACATTTTTTTATGTTCATTTTCTCTCTGTTTTATGGTACATATATCAGTGCTTGTACTGCTTCAGGGCATACAAATTCACTTTATACTCTTCATTTTTATTTATTTATTTATTTATTTTTTTTTTTTTGCCGTCTCTCGCCTATAATCGCATCAGCCGTAGATTTGTAATATGAAGCGGAAGAAATGGTTACGGCCCTGTCACAGCCCACAGATAAATGAAAGTCATTGGGATGCAATTGCCAAAGCAATTTATTGGTATGAAGCGGTATTATAGCAACCCTAACCCGGAGCACAGACTATTGAGGTTTTCATTCTGAAAGAGGATACACATTCTCAATATTGAGTGTCCTAGACAGTATAAAAGTTGTTTTTAAAGAATTTATTTAATATACCTGAAGTTGAAACAATAAAAATTATATAGATGAGGGAGTTGGTAATAGAGAAAAAAAAAGAAAGAGAGGGAAAGAGAGAAGGAGAGAGTGAATGTAAATAAGAAAGATTGAAAGTCGAATGGCAACATGAGAGATAACAAAATAATGAGAGAGAGGATAAGAAATAATGAAAATTGGAAAAACGCATAGTAGGAAAGAGTCAGATGGCTACGATGAGAGAGAGAGAGAGAGAGAGAGAGAGAGACATGAACACATGAAGAAATAAAAAGAGAGACACAGACAGAAAAAAAGAAAGAGAGAGAGAGAGAGAGAGAGAGAGACATGAACACATGATGAAATAAAAAGAGAGACACAGACAGAAAAAAAGAAAGAGAGAGAGACATGACTATGCAAAGAGGAAAGGAAAGATAAAGAGAGACAGGTTAAGGCAGTGCCATAACTACATATAGAAAGAGAGATGACTACAGATCGTAACAGAAGCTGAATTAGAAGGCAGGCTGAAAAATGTTGACTTAAGTAAATAGCCACCGGGTAAAATAGGGGAGTAACGGAGACAGACAATCTTTTGAGAATATTATGGATTAAATTGCCTAATAGAACAGCAAGGAAAATGGGATAATCATCATGATATCAAAAAGTTGCCCAAGAGAGAAAAAGATGACCAGATGTCAGATGGTCTCAAATATTTTTATATATTTAAATGTGAAATGTGACAAAGTGAGTGTGCAAGAAAAATAAGAGTTAGGGAACTGAAACCAGAGAAGGGCTGTTCGGATATTATGTCAAACAGCTTATAAATTCTGTTCATATGATTTTTAAGCACTCAGATTATATGTTAGATGTTATCAAATATGGGTTTAAGCTTGAAGAACATTTTCTATGCAAATTGTGAAAATCTAATGTCACGCTGGAGTTTGAAATTTGGAGACTGTGCAAATGTAAGAACATCATCATTACATCAATGTTTGTCATCATGAAGCAGCAGAAATGGCAACGCAACAGCCAGGGAAAAACTTTGCGCAGCTCTAAACTGTTGTGTGTGTTTGGATGTGGGAATATATATTTGTGTGTGTGTGTGTGTGTGTGTGTGTGTGTGCCTCTCTGTGGGTGGGTGTTTATAGGTTAGAGTTTGTACTTTCAACGCCCAAACAGATTTACCCGTATCAGTGGCAAAGCAGACGTTGTGGCTAACATGAATCGGTCGATACGGGGCCTGGGGGGACGCTGATATGAAGAGCTGCCATTTAGCCACGTTTTGTTTGTCTTTAAGCGCATCTTGTGCTTCGCTTTGTCTATATAGATGGGTATATATATATATATATATATATATATATATATCTATATATACTGGAGCAATTTCCATGTACACTCTACGCTCATTTATGCTGTCTGATAGCCTTGGGGCATATTCATATCCGTTGTCTTTTTAGCTAACTGCAACGGCGACTTGAATTTGAAAATTATGCAGCACGCTGGTTACCGCTTGCTGCATGCACTCTGTTTGTTGATCAACTTGATTATTCTGGGGCCTGAGTCCTGCCACAGACTATGCAATGTTTATCCATGTCTGGAGATAAAGCAAAGTCTGTTGTCTAAGTGCATGTGTATATGTATATGTAATATATATGCAATGTATATGCAATCGCGACTAATGCTTGACTTTATTTTGCATTTATCTTCCGTTTGACCCTTTTATCATTGATTGTCCTTTTTTATGGCCTGCATCGTAGCTGAATTTCCATTGTAAGACTTTTTCTTTCTTTTCTATTCATGTTTTTTTTGTAACCATTTCTATTGAATTTTTATTTTGTTTTATTGTTGGCCGCAGTCTATTCTTATATTTACTAATTGTTTGGCATTCTACCCTTTTGCTTTTTTGTTT